TAAGGTAGATTTTTTAATCCGGATCTTTTAAACTTTTAAAAGTGATCCGTCAATCTGTGTTACCACGGATAATCCGTCGAATTGGCGGATTGGTCATCCACGGATCACATCTCTAATCCACAGATTGAAAGAGTAATCCGAGGATTGAAAGAATAATCCGGATTAAATCCTTTGATCCGTGAATTAATCTTTTAATTTGTGAATTGATATATATAATTTGGATCATCCGGATTATTTTTTTTTAAATCCAGATTATATAAATTTTTAAAAAGTAATCTGTCAATCCGTGATATCACGGATAATCCGTCAGATTGACGGATTGGTCATCCACGGATCACATCTCTAGCAGAGGATGATACAGAGCATCGAATCTCCGATTCTTCAAGTTCCATTAAAGATTCAGATTTTGTCGAGCTATGTTCTATTTCAGGTGAAGGGTCAGAGAGAATTGTTTCTTCAGATGCGATCTTATGAAGTAAGGGTACTTTCGTGCTAACATCCTCTCTATGTAAATTGATAAGTTGCAAAATATTTTCTGTAGAAGATACTTTCAGTTTATTAGCAATGTCTTGAGTTTGCTTCTGTTCCAATTTCATGATTCTATCTTTAAGCTCAGTATTCTCAGCAGTGAGCTTGGCAGTATCCATTTTGTTTTTCTTTTCCAACTCTTCAAACTTGGTTTTAAGCTCAATGCTTTCTTCTATGACCTGTCTTAATTTCACATTTTCACTCTCGACCTCAACATATTTCTTTCTAAGCTCATCAATCTCGGTTACAAGCTTGGAGTTCTGTTCTTCTAGTAAATCGATTTTAGATTGAGTGTTTGCCATTTTTTATAGAATACGGATATATTTAATTCTTTAGTTGTGATAGATACAAAGCATCCTACTTCGTCGACATCCTCATTCCGTGAGTCATGAACAAAAATGCCAATAAATTTTATTTGAATCTGATCGTGAGCATTTTCCTTATTTTTGGTCACAGTTTTTTTGTCAAGAATAAATTCAGAAAACAAATTCTTGATCAAAATATGTATATATCATCATGAAAAATTCGAATTATTCCTATTTCAGAACACCGATCAATAAATATATATACAACAGGAGTACAGAGTATTCAGTAGTTCATTCACATGAAAAAATAATTCATATTAATATGTACCAATTCTTTATTAATAAATATATGATAATAATACATGATAAAAATATAAAAAATGGATTAATCATCTCGACAATGTTTAGGGCATCCTCCTGTACATTCATTGTTATTGTTATCACCACCGCCATTGTCGAAAAAATCAAAATCATCATGTGAAAGTTGTCGTGGTGAGGGTTGTCGTTGTGGTGATTGTTGAGATGATAATGATGATTTATTTTTACAACATTTTTTAGTTACAGGTTCACGATCATATTTACTTTTTCTTTTAGGGCGAAGATTATAATTATGTGATGGTGTTGTTGTTGTTGTTGTTGCTGCTATTGCTGGTGATGATGATGATGATATTACATTATTATTATCATTGTTATTGTTGTTACTATTATTATCTTCACCAACGTTGTCGATATTACTGCTGTTGATATTACTGCTGTCGATATTACTGCTATTACCATTATTACTGTTATCGTTATTGTTATTAATGTTATTATCATTATTGTTATTGTTATTTCTATAGTTATCATTATCGTCATTATTACTATTACTACTATTATCATTATCATTAACCCGTTTTCTTTTTTTTCGTTGTGTAGAACCACCAACATCGTTGCTATTATTGTTATTATTGTTATTATTATCGTTGTTGACATTGTTGTTATTATTGTTATTGTCATCGTTATTGTCATTGTTAATATTATCATCATCATCATCGTCAAACATTAGAATATTATCATCATCATCAAACATTAGAATATCATAATCATCATGTACAGGACCTTCATTATTTTGCATTTTTGCATTTTCTTGGATTTCGGATAGTTTGTGCCGAAGACGCGATAGTTCATCCTGAATGCGAGCCTCTTCTGCTTCACGGACCAAGATATCTTCTTTCTAATTTCAGAAGAATAATTAAGAATAATATTAAGGCTGATATATGAATGCAAAATAAGTGGCTTTACTTACTATTTTAACCTCTTCAATTACATTATTCCAATAATACTCGAAATTATAACGTTTTCGTTCTTGATTGACCTACAGTGAGGAAAGCAACTGTTAATAGTGTGTAATTTTTATTTAGTGTGTAATTTCTATTTAGTGGTAAGGACATGCCAAAAATCAAATGGTTTAGGGCGAACCCTATAGTATAGAGAAATCAGATGATAAACGGCATGCCCCAAAAGGAAGACACATAATTGATTCCTCCTCCGGAATCAGCAGACCTTTACCAACGACAAAGTTAGGGCGCCTGAATAGAGAAATTGGGGGCTGGTTACCCAACGTGTCTACACAGTAGTTCTCCTGAGTCAGACCGGACCATGATCGCGATCTACTAGGAGTTACCCTAACCTTGTAAAATAAAAAAATACACACCTTTTCTTTTAAATCTTCGCCTAACTTTCTTGCTTCTGCTAAAAAGCGATCGCACCAGGTTTTGTCAAGGTCACGCCAGAGGAAAGTAGCCGAAGTAGCGGAAACAATCGCGTCTCGATAATGACGCAAAAAATAGTAGAAAGATTTGCCTCTGCTTCGCATCAAATAAGACGTAAGTTCATCGTAACCGGGATATTTTTGTTCGGAAGTCATGGTATAAAAAACTTAGTAAAAATAAAGCTTTGTTGAAGTGCAAGAAAAAGTACAAGAATCGTAAAAAAAACGCGAACCCTTAAACACGTAGTTCCCCTCCTTAAATAACGCGTATACCGTCTCGGGGGCTACAAAGAACGATCCATGTGTTAATTTATCGAATTTGGTTATCTTGCACTTCACAGGGACGTTACACATGCATTGGAATTTCCCATAGTTTTCGAATTTCTTCTGTGATACATGTTATCAATATATCGCATGACCTGTTGATGCATGCAAATTTCTATTATATTCTATGACGCCAATATCACATGATAGGTTAATTATTTTAGCGAAAATGCCAAGTTACACAAGTTATTATAAACTGTTGTTATCTCTATTTTATTTTTAAATTTATTAATTATTTATTTATATGTTTATATATTTTATTATCTTATTTATT